CGTGTTCCACTTTTTTCGGGCTGCGTAACACGGCTCGTCAAGGTTCGCAACGGCGGCCCTCTTCGGAGAAGCCGTCACGCTTCGTAGCCTGCCCCAAGTTTGGGTTTAGGAGTTTTCATGTGTAGGGGTTTCGGCGTCGTTCCATTACACGGGCGCCCGGCATGGAGGCGCGCAAACGAGGACTGTGAACCGGGGCCCGCGCAGCTGACCGGGCCGGGTCCGTACAACATTGGGACATTGGAAACAGGGGGGTGTAAAGGCGCACTCTTTTCAGAGCATAAAGAAGAAATATAGAATATTCTTCTTTTAATGCACTAGGACCAATGCACCTTTACACCCCCCCCCTCTCTCTCTTTTGGCAATCCCCCCCCCCTCTCTCTTTTGGCAATCCTTTTTGTGGCCTGGGTTGGGCAGACTACCAACAGTGCCGGTGCACGGCGTTGGCTGCGCGGAAAAGCACCATGCTTCTCTGTGCGAAAAATCTGATAGAAGCACAGTCAGCCCAAAGCCCCGCTGCTTCTCTGTGCGAAAATTCTCATAGAAGCACAGTCCCCCCCAAAACCCCGCTGCTTCTCGGTGCGGAAATTCTCATGGAAGCACAGTCCCCCCCAAAATCCCGCTGCTTCTCGGTGCGAAAAATCTCATAGAAGCAAAGTCTCCCCAAAACCCCGCTGCTTCTCTGTGCGAAAAATCTCATAGAAGCACAGTCCCCCCAAAACCCCGCTGCTTCTCTGTGCAGAAATTCTCATAGAAGCAACGTCCCCCCAAAACCCCGCTGCTTCTTGGTGCGAAAATTCTCATGGACCCCCAAAACCCCGCTGCTTCTCTGTGTGAAAAATCTCATAGAGGCACCGTCCCCCCAAAACCCTGCTGCTTCGCTGCGCGAAATTCTCATGGAAGCACAGTCCCCCCCAAAACCCCGCTGCTTCTCGGTGCGAAAAATCTCATAGAAGCAAAGTCTCCCCAAAACCCCGCTGCTTCTCTGTGCGAAAAATCTCATAGAAGCACAGTCCCCCCAAAACCCCGCTGCTTCTCTGTGCAGAAATTCTCATAGAAACGTCCCCCCAAAACCCCGCTGCTTCTTGGTGCGAAAATTCTCATGGACCCCCAAAACCCCGCTGCTTCTCTGTGTGAAAAATCTCATAGAGGCACCGTCCCCCCAAAACCCTGCTGCTTCGCTGCGCGAAAATCTCATAGAGGCACCGTCCCCCCAAAACCCCGCTGCTTCTCTGTGCGAAAATTCTCATAGAAGCAACGTCCCCCCAAAACCCCACTGCGTCTCTGTGCGAAAAATCTCCTAGAAGCACAGTCCCCCCAAAACCCCGCTGCTTTTCGGTGTGAAAATTCTCATAGAAGCAACGTCCCCCCAAAACCCCGCTGCTTCTCGGTGCGAAAATTCTCATGGACCCCCAAAACCCCGCTGCTTCTCTGTGTGAAAAATCTCATAGAGGCACCGTCCCTCCAAAACCCTGCTGCTTCTCTGTGCGAAAATCTCATAGAGGCACCGTCCCCCCCAAAACCCCGCTGCTTCTCTGTGCGAAAATTCTATGAGGGTTTTCAAAACCCCACTGCGTCTCTGTGCGAAAAACCTCCTAGAAGCACAGTCCCCCTAAAACCCCGCTGCTTTTCGGTGTGAAAATTCTCATAGAAGCAAAGTCCCCCCAAAACCCCGCTGCTTCTCTGTGCGAGAATTCTCATAGAAGCACAGTCCCCCAAAACCTCGCAAATCTGATGTTTTTTTCGACATTGACACCGGCGTGACGTCCTGCCTCAGAAACAAGTGTATGGCGTATGGTCTTTTTGTTCTGTCTGTGCATCATTTTTTTATGGTCAGGAATGGGTGGGATGCAGGTTTCCTGTTGATGTGGTGCTTTCCTGGTGCTTCTTGCCCACGCAAGCCCCCTCCTGAGATGAAACCCTTGGCCCGAGGACATGTTGGAGCAACAAATCAGCGGCATGCGACTTTTGTGGGACAGTTGCCGAGTTTTTGAGGATGTTTTGCACGCCATGCGCCCACGGACCCCGCCACGCCTCGAGTTCCCAAAAAATATGGCGGATGAATTTTGGACCAGCAGACCTCCTTCACTCCAAAAAAACTGCCTATTTCCCGTGGCCAGTTGGCCACTTTCAGAAGCCCTTCCATGCTGCGAACCCATCGGCCACACGCAAGCCCCCATCCTGAGAAGAGAACCTTGGCCCGACGACCGACGACGCGTTCCAGCAAAAAGCCAGCGGCAGGCGATTTTGCTGCGACAGTTACCGAGTTTTGAAGGATGTCTTGCACGCGGCGCGCAAGCGGACCCCGCCACGCCTCGAGTTCCGAAAAATATGGTGTATGAATTTCGCGACCACAACGCCCACCTCCCCACAAAAAGTGCCGGTTTTCCCTGGCCCGTTGGGCACGTTCAGAAGCGCCTCCATTCTGTGACCCCGTCGGCCACACGCAAGCCCCCTCCTGAGATGAAACCCTTGGCCCGAGGACATGTTGGAGCAAAAAAGCAGCGGCATGCGACTTTTGTGGGACAGTTGCCGAGTTTTTGAGGATGTTTTGCACGCCATGCGCCCACGGACCCCGCCACGCCTCGAGTTCCAAAAAATATGGCGGATGAATTTTGGACCAGCAGACCCCCCTACGCAACATGCTCTGGCATGTGAACATGAGAGCTGCTGTGCCACAATGGTCTAGCAAGTCCTTGTCAACACCGGTTACCAGCAGCAAACGTGCAATCTCAACGTGAACTCTCCTAGGTCCTAACGCAAGCGCTCCTATGCAATACGCTCTGGCTGGCCCGCGACCCGCCAGTGAAGAGGAGCCGCGTGACGAAGTCGGCATAGACATCTGAGAGCGAGGCAACCCGAAACCCTGAACCCCAAACCCTGTCTGTGACTTCAACATGTGAACATGAGAGCTGCTGTGCCAGAACGGTCCAGCAAGTCCTTGTCAACACCGGCTACCACCAGCAAGCGTGCAATCGCAACGTGGACACTCCTAACGCAAGCGCGCCTATGCAATCGCTCTGGCTGGCCCCCGACCCGGCACTGAAAGGCCGCGGCAAAGGAGCCCCATGACGAAGTCGGCATAGAAATCTGGCAGCGAGGCAACCCGAAACCCTGAATCCGAAACCCTGTCTGTGACTTTGACATGTGCGCATGAGAGCTGCTGTGCCCGAATGGTCTAGCAAGTCCTTGTCAGCACCGCGCTACCACCAGCAAGCGTGCAATCTCCACCGAAACACTGTGACATGTAAAGCACTGAGAGGCCGCGGCACCGCGAGAGGAAGAGCCCCACGACGTCAGCAAAGAAATCTGAGTGCAACCCTCAACCACTAAATCCTAAACCCCGAAACCCGAAGCCCTAAACCCCACTCCTACACTGCAGGGTGGGCTTCCGAGCACTGTGACATGTCAAAATTAGAGTCTGCTTGCCAGAATCGTCTCGCAGTCTGTGTCAGCACCGTTACAGCAAGCGTGCAAGCTCTCCTAAACACACGCAGACACACGGACACATGAACATGCGAGCTGCTGTGCCAAAATGGCCTGTCACGTCCTTGTCAGCACCGGTTTCCGCCAGCAGGCGTGCAATCTCCACCTAGACAGTGCGACATGTCAGAACGCAACGTGCCAACAGCAGTTGCACGTCACCGCTGAAGGCTACACCCCGAACCCTTCCTGCACGCACACAGGCATGACGTGTCTGGTCTTGCTGAAAAGAGCAACGCGTGCTGTCACGACACTGCCGCTTGCAAAACCTACAAAGACAAAGCACGCAGAAGTTTGAAGAATAACAAAACATGCATCCCTATTTTTTCCAGCACACAGGAAAGCGTCGCATGTCGGGACTTGCTTTTAGCTGCTGCAAGTTACTACGGGATCTTGCACTTGCCGCACAAGTATCGCGTCACACGGCAGGATTGCTGTGCAACTTCAACGGCGAGACCTCCAGCAACTCATCCCCTTTCCACGCATGTGTGACCGCGAATGGGCAACCTGGATTCACTCTTGGCAATGGCGATGGCACAAGAAGAGGACTGGCAGGCTGCGGCCCCGGCTGCTGAGTGGGAGTACGAGCTTCCTCTCTCGGCAATGGCGATGACACAAGTAGAGGACTGGCTGGCTCTGCTTGTTGCGTGGGAGTACGAGGCGCCTCCGGTCGCTTCCGTTTTCGCTCCAGGCTTCCACAGGAGGCTGCGGTGTGCAAAGCGGGCTGGGCGTGAAGCAAAGAAGCTTCCACTTGCTGGATCTCCGCGTCTACACCAGGGTTCTCGGCCACGTAGTGCAGGAACCAGCGGTTGATCCATCTGGCGTAGCATCCCTTGCACGAATAGCAGAGCTTTAGGGGGGTCTCGCTGCGCCGGACTGAGAGGTTGACGAAAGTTCCATCGCAAAGCAAACCTGTTCTGCAGCGTGTCTCTCTTTTTCATCCGGCTCGCCCTTGGGCGTCTTTGGAATCACACGCGTCTGAGTCGTGATAATAAAGGGCGGCGGGTGGTGAACCAGAGCGGGCGCACTGCCCTTCACCTGAGAACGAAACCACGCAGCAACGCACCGCACTGGGTTCAGACTTCATGGAGTTACAAAGCTGCGAAGCCAGGACAAAATACAAAAACATGACGCCAAAAACCTTCAGAATCCTTGGCCGCACCGTACTGGGTTTGGACGTCTAGGAGTTGCAAAGCAGCGAAGCCACAACAAAACGGAAAAACTTAAAGCAAAAAACTTGCAGAAGCAGGGGTCGGCGCAACTCACACTCTCTCCTTCTAGAAGAAGGAGGAGAGTGTCGAACGGAAGTGGCGTCGTGGTCAGACGCCAGTCCTGGAACACTGCCACCAGCATGTGTTCCAGCCGTTGGAGGACGAATGTGTCCCCTTTATTTGGTCGAAGGTAGACATGGCCATCAAATATGTGTATGAGCGGACGCGTCAAGGCTGTTTTGCCACTGTTCGACTCCCCCCACAACAGCAGATTGCTGTTTTTTTGCTGTAGTCCCGACGCGAAGCAGCTTTGTGGTGATCCAGGAGCTGGTCAAGAGCAGTCTGCAGGCGGTCCGGGCTCACACACACGCAGGGAGACTGCGCCGCCGCTTCCCACATCTGCATGCGCTGGAGTCGAAGACCGGCAGCTGCGGCGGGCTCACAAAGGATCTGTTGCCATGACGCGAATAAGCCGGGCATTTTCTGTCCTTGCTTGGCCAAGAAAGCCTCATAAACACCATTGCCGCGCTTCCGCTGGGCTTTGCACCAGTCCACCAGTTCCTGGAAGCGGGTAAACTTCATGCGCCGGACGATGCTGCACACATCTGACGGTCGCACGGACACGTTCATGAACTTTTTCATTCTCTTCTCCATCATATCCATCGGAAATGCGCTGGAGAAATATGGGTTCTCATCCAATTGCTGTTGGCCTTTTCTGGGCGTCGGTGCAAGCAAATAACGCAGGCATCGGAAGAAATCAGCATGCATCCGTGGTAGCGCCAGATGACCGTACAGACCTTTGGCACGCAATCGGCGGGCCAAGGCCTTCCACTTGATGCGGCGACTCAACTTCAAGACGGCATGCCAGTGCTTTGTGCGTTCCCAAGATCGTTCCGACCCTTGATGCTCTTCAGCAACGATGACATAGTACTCAACGCTGCCCGGACCATTCATTTTCGCCAGATGTTTCTTGCCATAGCTTGTTGCTGTCACCGCACCCTCTTTGTCCGTGCGTGGGAAGGTCCAAAAATGCACAACGCTGCCTTGGTACTTGGTCTTCTGTGTGGCACTCACAACATCCTGAAAGACATCCACACGCTTCGGCTCTTCATCCGACGTCGCATCGTCCTCTTCAGCAAAAAGATCTTCCTGCTCACTGGAGACGTCAATGGACGCATCACAGGAGTCGGGCGGCGCAGCGCAGCGCGAAGAGTCACTGCTAGAGCTGCGCGAAGAGTCACTGCTAGAAGACGATGACGAGCCACTGGAGCTCATGGCTACTGCAAACCGCCATGACTACATCCTGAATAGTGCTACTGATACTGTTTGCATGAAGGCCCGCCGTCCCCGTAGCCCCACCGAGACAATGCCCAGGGTCCTGGGGGCACCCTCCCTCCCCGTAGCCCCACAATGACGTCGACATACTTCCCAAAACGGCTGGCTCTGTGACTCTGTGCACCAACAGACACATGCAGGTGGCGTCACGGCATCACTGAGGCAAGTGTCATCTGAACGGCCATGCTTCCTACAAACACCGGCCCGCGAATGAAATCTTTGTTGCGGTGGGGCTAGGGGGAGGGCACCCGCATGTTCGAGTTAGGTCTTTTGGGAAACCGTAACCCTAAAACCCGAAAGCCCTAACCCGAAGAATTCAGTCCGGGCTTTCGGTGGCCTGGGAAACCAGTCACAGCTTCACTTTTTCGAGCAATCCGTCGTGCTCTGAAGCCTGCCACAGGTTTGGGTTTGGGAGTTTGGGGGTGTGTAGGGGTTGAGGATGGTCTTGAGAACCCTAACCCTAAAACCTTATACCCCAAACCCTAAACCCTCAGTCACAAACGACATCGGCCCAGGGTCTAGAGGCTTGGGAGGGTTTTGAGGAAGCCCTCGTACTCTGTAGCCTGCCGCCGGTTTGGGTTTACGAGTTTTCGGGTGTAGGGTTTAGGATGGTTTTGGGGAAACCCTAACCCTAAAACCCTCAGCCCTAAAGCTTCAATCTGCGGTTTCCCAGGCCTCGGAAACCAGTCACAGCGCAACATGGAGCTATAGGGCCCCCCGAAAAGATGGCATCCGCAAAAAGTGTTGTTTAAGCCATCTTCTCCCCGAAAAAACGTTTTTGTCATGGGGGTGTGCCTCGGCCAGATAGATGGCACATGCAGGGGAATCTTTCAGATTGGGATGGGTGGTGGTCCGGGGTGTTCGGGGGGTTTGCCACACCAGAAGATGGCATCCGCATACAACAATGGTTTTGAGTAGCAACTGCAGCGACCTTTCCTGCCGTGAGAGCAGAGAACAAAGTCTGAGAAGTTGAGAGAAACTGGAGAGAAACTGGAAAAAACTCCAGTGCGGATCCGGACCTTGTTTTATTTCTCTTCTCTGTCTCTCTCTCTCTCTCTCTCTCTCTCTCTCTCTCTCTCTCTCTCTCTCTCTCTCTCTCTCTCTCTCTCTCTCTCTCTCTCTCTCTGTCTCTCTCTTTCCCCTTCTCACGTTCCCTAACTCTCTCTCCTTCCCTCTATAGATGCAGCTGGGAGCGCTGGGCTCGAGACCTGCCAGGGGTAGCGCCGCTAGCTACAGATCCTTGAGGCATTGTCATTTTTTAGCCATGTTCCAGGATGTTTCCTTTGCCAAAGTTGGGACAGGCACACCTGTCGATATCGTCGTTCAGGTCACGCGTACGGAGCGTGACCATGTGTCTCTTCAGGCACTATGGCATGGGGAGAACTGTAGGGCTTTGCATGCTGATTTCCAGGCCGGAGAAATTAGGACACGTTACGGATACGTTGTGCATCACTCACAGGGCACTGCGCATTTGCTCCTGCCGGGGCTAGTCGCACAAGCAGTTCGCGTGCAGCGCAAGCGTCAGGGCAAGTTCGAACCAGAATCATTTGTCCAGGACACTCAAGCCGCAGGCGCCACGGACTCCACGCTTTGGAAGGGGCTGCTTTCGGTGCAACAGAATTTCCCGAATTGTCCTACTGTTCTCCTGTCGCCGATCTCAGCAGAAGATCTGCTTGCGGTTGTTGGTTCCCTCACCAATTTGTCTGCTTTTGCTGAAGTGCCTGCAGGCACACTTTTGCTGCTTGCATTCCTGCATGATGGGCGCCAGCGCCGCAGCTCCCGGAAGCGCTCCCCCGCGCCCTGTGCAGTTTGTGTCTCCTGTCCGAGAGGAGAAAACTGGAGAGAAAAAATTTGAAAAGGAAGGGAGAGAGAG